ATTATTATTATTATTATTATTATTATTATTATTATTATTATTATTATTATTATTATTATTATTATTATTATTATTATTATTATTATTATTATTATTATTATTATTATTATTATTATTATTATATTATTATTATTATTATTATTATTGCTAATAATAACAATTACGTTATTGCTGTTGTCGTTATTATTAAGTGTTGTGCAGATGAAGATTCTTGAAACAGTTCATAATCTTCACACAGAAGAAAAAGGAGGAATAAATGAGTGAAACATTCCGCAATGTTTTTTTTTCCCCTTTTTTACTTGTCCATCTTCGTTCATAAAGTATTCATATCACTTTATTCATTTCACTTTATTTTCTTTAACATTGGAAATTTCAAATATTGAGAAAAAAGTCTTAACCCTTCGTCCATGTGTTATTTAAGACTTATTCTGGCATCCTGTATTGAAATAAGCTAAACAATTTTCAAACCTTAAATTCGCCGTCATTTCCCTTTTACTTTCATGCATCCTGCCATCTAAACATGTATTCTCAAGTTGTTCCACCATCATATCAACATTTTTTTTATGCAAAACCTTTCCATACTTTTCCGCATTCCGGATCCATTTTGCAGCTTCTTTCTTTCGTCCATTTACTATCAAGAAATGAAGGCTTTCCGGAATAGTACTATAATTGATATCATTTATTTTTCAAAAATTTTTTTAAATTTAACTTATTTGTGTAAACATTTTTAAGACATTACGAAACATTTCAAATTTACAAAACTTTTTTTAATCGAATTTTAGCAAAAAATTACTAACAAAAAGTATATAGCAGCGAGAACTATGGAAGGTACCGAATATGCAACCATTACCCATCGCCAATGAACAATGAAATAGACAAGTGGTGCTACCGCACAAAAACCAATTACCCACATTACACCATACATCAAAGTGATAAAACCACGTAATCCAATTGGTACACTTTCATAACCTAACACCCAACCAACCAATAATACACCCTGGAAAAAAACAAAATAAAATAGAAAATAGGACAAAAAAAAGATAAAATTCAGGTTTTAAAACGGGTTACATTAATGCTTGCTTCATTTTCTTAATATTTTCATTCTAAGCTTTTTTCAAAGAGAAAAAAAAAAAAGGAAGCAAACCGGAGAGCAAAAACCTTGTATGAAACGTCCAATAATAAATGTACGAATACTTTCAGCTAATGAAGTTAATGCACCAAAAATTCCAAGCAATAATAGGCTAGAAATTAACACTGGACGTCGTCCAATTCTAGGAAAAAAAAAATTGTTCATCAACATATTTGCTAATTAAAAATAAATTTTAAAAATAGGAAGAAGAAAAATGAAGAAAATATGAGCAAATTATCATACAAATTTTTGTTCTTATCCATTTATTATTTCAATGAAATGAAAGTTAAATTTTCGACAATTTCAATTTTAATGCATTTTATATTTTTTAAAAATTTATTTATTTTAGACAAAAGTCAAATTTTTTGTATCCGGTAATTAAAATATTTCTGCATACTTGTTTACTTAAAAATCAAGTACCAAATATATATATATCGAAGTTTTATTGAATGATAATATAACTTACTTGTCTGATAAATATGTAAGCGTACTAGCACCGATCATATTTCCTAGCATAAAAGCTGAAGTGGTCCATTCTAGCAGGTATCGTTGATTACCACGTAAATTAAACTATAAATTTTGATAAGTATATATAATATTATCTAATTATTACCCCTTTATAGAGTAATATCAAATGATAATATAATAATATTTGATATAAATTGGTACCGGATGTTATTTATATGGTACAATATTGGATAGTATTGATGCAAAATAATACGGAATAATTGATATCAGTGAAAAAAAAAAAAAAAAAATTACACGGTAATTAAAATGTTTCTGCATATTTGTTTACGGTAATTAAAATGTTTCTATATACTTGTTTACTTAAAATATTCGTATATTCAAGTAAACAATGTTATAGTGAAGGGAAATTTAAATTTAATCATATCATGAAATTATATGATAATGATAGGATGACATTGGGTCTTACCAAATGACAAATAATACCTCAGAGACTGGTGTTATTGTTCGAGAATTTTCCATACATATATTTATGTTATTTCCATTGATACCAAGATTTGTTGTATTTGAGAAGCACATAGCATCATCATTATCATCAATAATAAATATACCATGCATTACTGATATTGAAGCTATTGCCCAATCAATTGATAAAAAAATTGTAATCAATAAAACATATCGCTGATGAATACCTATAAATTTTAATTAACAAAAAAAAAAAACGAAAAAGTTTTAAATTTGCTAAAATTTTATAAATTAGACAAAAAAATTTTAAAACATTTCCATCCTATCCACATTATTTTTACTTCTTTTCTCTTTTTTTTCTCCTTTTTCTCATCAACTTTCAGTGATTTTTATCATATTTATACTGTTATTAAAGAATGAAATTTCATACTTATCAATTTTTGATCTTTGAAAAGATAAAATTAAACAAAAATTGCCTTATTTTATTTGTCTCCGTCTTGTCAACTTTCTTTTTTTTAATCTAAAACTAACCATGCAAATTTGTTCAAATAAAAAATCAATCAATAGTTTATTCGTTAATATTTGTAAAAAATTTTTCAACTTTAACCCGGTATTTCCTGGAATATTTCGATAAAATATGTCCAAAAATTGTTGGAGGATTTAGTAAAGTAATGCAAAATTTACCAAATTCAGCCAAAACTTGATCAGCATTTTCAAGTGATTCAAATGAATTGCCAACTTTTTCCATGTTTACCGTACTCCTCAAGCATTCAGTACCAGAATTAACATCTACTGATAACCTTTTACTTGACATCACAGATTGATATATTGCACTATAGCTGCAGAGATAACCATTCCGTTAACAAAAAACGTGCAAACTGACGGATGCGGATGCGTAAGTAACGTAACGTAATGTAACGTAAAGTATTTACTAGAATGCAGTTGTTATGTACTTATTAAAAAAAAAGAAAAATTGCCGATTTTTTTTTTTTGAATAGTAATTCACATCTTATATAAAAATCAAAATGATATTTTTTCCCCTACCTGAAATTGTTGTAATTGAAATTGAAATTACTATCAGAATAATTGGGAGATTAATATCACTTCAAAAAAAAAGAAAAAAAATTTGTTATCATTGTAAAATTTTATCCTAACTGATCTGATCTGCCGTTATCGATATCCCAATAATTGCTATTATTAAAATAATCTATCGATGTTTACAACAACTTCACATATGTAAACATATATCATATGGCAAATGAAATTTTAATTTTCTCTTTCCGAGAAATGATGAAAATTATTCATTCATACGTTTGATACATTTTCAAATAACAATAATATATCCGTTTTTCACTTTATTCTTATACAAAAAAGTAATTTTAAATTTTTTTTAAAAAAAAGGAATGAAAAAGAAAGATGACACTTTTTTTTTTGGATTTACTTTTTGAAGAAAGCATTTTTTGATAATCTCAAAATCAAAAAAAAAAAAACCGTATCGAATAGCTTTTTTTTTTTGGTGAAAAATTGATTCGAATTATTTTCGGAAATTTATATCATTTGTTTAGAAAGAGGAAGAGAGGAAGAAGGGAAGAAAGAAAAAAAAGAATTCTGTTACTGAATAACAATAAATATTTGTGAGGAAAAGTGAAAACAGACCAAAGATGGATGGAAAGAGAAAACTGGAAATTTTTTTGTCATTCATTCGATGGGTAATAATTAACAATAATAATAATTAATAATAATAATAATAATAATAATAATAATAATAATAATAATAATAATAATAATAATAATAATAATAATAA